AGCGTACAAAAAACTGAAAATAGCGCTTAATTAAAAAGAACACCCTACTGTATTAGCATCATCCTCATAATCGACCAGCTCATGCTGGTCTCGGTATGTTCTCCCATGCCGAGAACACTTGCACATTTGCCGGTGGTTGAGGTGGGCCGTGGCAGCCCGACTAAGGTAACAGCATCGACGCTGCGAACCTAATTGGGGATCTACAACACATGGCAGAGACATGCTACGTTTTAATGTCGATGTTCCATGTAATCTGACCAGCAGCAACGATAGCAACGAGAGTGCCACAATCTGTCACACCAACCTGTATGGATTCAAAACAATTCCAGCATTCCCGGCCAGCAGCTGTTGAAGCATTCCGCATGGCCTCGATGCCTTTGCTGCATGTGTCATTGTCGTCACACACCAGCAAGATGCCCATCCCCTGGCAGGGACAGCTTAGGCGATCAGCGACATTTGAACAAAACCAATGCCCTGCGTTGACAGTCCCTTTGTCATCGCGGTTTCAGCTAAAAAAAGCAAAGCTTCTCCAATGGAAACGTAACACTAACCGGAAACGCAGCCAGAGCGTGTTGCCAATGAACTGAGAAGGCACCAGGTGGCTCTGAATCAGGCGAACTTAACATGCAAACTAAGAGTGTGCGACGGCACACAGTGGGCCACTCTCTCCACGGTCCAATGTTTCAAACTCATTGCCAGTGCCTGCCAGTAGTTCAAGAAAGGTCATGCACAGGGTGTTCCCGCTTGATCAGATATTTGCGAGCTTCTTTTCCACACGTGCAGCATCAATCTGCTGTTATCAGCAATAAATCCTCTTCAATCCCCACCGCCCCGCATGCAACATGCAACTCCTCCGAATTGTCAAGGCAGCGGTGCCTGCATGACTAACAGGAGAACAATGATCAAACCTTTGCCCTCCCCGTGGTTGCTGCAAGCTCCACCGCATCTTCCAGGGAGGTATGCCACTCGCGTGGCACAAATGCCCTCACACCATATGAGCTTAAAACGGCGTCCACGCCGCAAGTCGCCCCAAACATCACACCAATTCCTTGTCGAAGATAGTATTCAATGGCGCTGGACACAAGGCTAAGCGTCCAATCACAGGCCTGCGCATTGCCACTCATGATATCAATTTGCGAGAAGCTCAGCTGCCCATGCGAACTTGAGCTGACTAGCTCAAATCCTGTGATTACATTGTCAAATGGACTTAACAGACACTGCCCTAGCACCTTAGAGGCGGTGTTGGAAGCTGACTGGAAACAGGGCACACTTGTGCTGTGGAATATCCCGGTCGTTGGTATACAGGAACTTGCCGTCGCGAGCATGAAGTATTGCCCTGTGGTGCCCTGTGGTGTGTGGCCCTGTGCTGCTCTAGCCCCACTGCAGTATTACTGACACAGGTTTCAGGAAGCATGACAAAGCCACATCTCCACGTGCATAGAATCCTGAATGCTGATTTGGATACCTGCGTTTGAGTAGCGCACCTGCAACAAGCGCTGCCCAGCTCTTGGCGACATCAGGAGTGCCAGGGCGACACACAGAGCCACGATTACAAGCAGCGGTACCCATGGCCAGAGTGTGTGCCACGATGGTCTTTTTCGATAGGGACTACGACGTGGAGGAGCCTGCACCACGGACAAATCGAACACGACTCGCCACCAAATGCATCGATTCCAAGGAGTACCCTCCTGCGAGTGTTGCATACACTCCAGCAATCGTGAAAGAAGCAACAGCCTAACGAACCAACGGACTCTTGAGATCATCGACATCAAGGCATGGGTCGCAGTGAGAGGGCGGGCACGTCTTTTATCCTGATTGAATAAAGCAAAATGGAATCATGGCACCACCTGCCGTGTTGGAGCAAGGCATAGCCAACATGCCCAATTGTGACAAAATACAACATCCACAACTTACACGCACCTGTTGCTTACTGATGACTGTTTCTTGCTCCCCTGCTCTCCTTCTCTGCATCGCAGCAAATCGACCTCGCAAAAGCCTCAAAGCCCGTCGCGAACAAGCAGGTTCCGCCAAGCGTTCTTGAGCAGTGCTGTTTGTTTTCCCTTCTTTCGCTCCAGTCCCCTCAGCCGTGCTTTGAGCTTCAGAGTCTCCCCGCCTGTTGCCCTGTATACAAAGAGCTGCACTTTTATGCCGTTGTGCATGGACATAGCAGAATCTGCTGAACCTTTGTCTGGTTGGGTCGTTTCTCCAACATTCCCTGTGGACGTGAGCCAACACAGGTGTTCAGGCTCCTTTGTTTGACTTGCGGTGGCATTTGTGTCATGTCCTGTCCTCACATATGTAAAGGATTGATGTGTGCATACAGAAAACGGCACGTGGTGGCACAAATTGCCCATGACAGGCCTGTGACAAACAGCTGAAGCAGGGCATGGACTGATGCAGGTCAGGCAACAAGCACAGGGCCACCCCGTAGCTCAAGACGGGAGATGGCCAGGCCAGCCACAATTTTCTCAGGATTTGGGAGCAATTCAACACATGTAGAACATCTGGATGCAGGGCGTTAGTTGTTCTGCATCAGAACATTTCTGCACTCTTTGCTATTTTCTGATTGACAATGAGAATGACAGCATGGAAGACACTGTCTCAGAGGATGCATTCTGGACAGCCCGTGAACTAGGTACCAGAGCAATCAAGGTGGCACCCGTGCTAGAATAGAGTCCATCAAGGCCAAAGCGACTGCACATGCTGAATGAAAAAGCTGCAGAGTCAAAACCTGTGAAAGAGATGCACAGTGGGAAAGGGGAGGACGAAATGTGCCCGTTTTGATGTGCTCGAGCATTAATGCCATGGCTCAAGCAGTCAAAGTTGTCAATCCCCGATTCATTTTTAAAACGTTGCAAACCACTACCACTGCACTCTTATGCCTCTGCTGTGATCGTCTAAACCTGCATTTTGCTAGCAAAGCGGGGCCCTTGCACCTGCTAGGCGATGGCGGCCATGTCGAAATCCTAGAACGCTTTCAATGGCATCGTGATGGCCAAGAAGGATTTGGTTCCTTGAGAAAGCTCCTTGCTGCAGTGATGTGCTTCATCTGTCTGGAAATAATGGTCGCCCTTATTTTACGGAAGCCGTTACGCACCATATGCTTAGTTTTCCTGGAAATCAGACCAGAAAGTCCACTGCAGTACATGTCGTGCCCTCGTGCAGGACAGACAAGCACGGGTGATGTTGCATTGTCTTGAACCTGTGGGACTCAGCGCGGGAATACGAGTATCTTCAAGGTCTCCCTGAACCCACCCAAAACAGAAGTGGGAGGCTAGCAAGTGAAGGAATCAGTGCCGTTGGTTGGAGGACAGGTGATTCGGAGGCTTTTGGAGCATGGTGCTTCCAACTGCCATGCCATTTGACGCTAGCATTTATTTTCGATCTTGTAAATTCGCATTTGCCAGGGCCGACATTGCAAATTGGCTTTGGCAAAGGGCGACATTTATTCACTTACAGGAGAAGTGGCAAAGGCTGATGCCGAGCTAAACTAGGCAATACACTTACTGCTTCTGATTGCAGGCCAGGCACGGGTGCCAACTGATGCGCCTCAGGTGCGAGTAGCCGGCAGAGCACAGCCTCAGGGCAGCTCATCACCTCCAGACGAGCTGCGTCCTCTGCCCGCTTTTTCAGTCGCTCAAGCTTAGCCTTAAGCTCTGTTTTCTTCCTGTGCAAAGAGGCAGTCACTCCACAGTGACAAACTTTCTTCAACTTTTCCTCATTTGAAATGTTGTTACTTCTCAACTGCAATCTGGACATTCAATAATTGGGTGGCGAGCAGAGAATTGAACAAATCAGGGACAATGAAATTGTACATGCAAGTGGTTATAATTTCCTGAAAATTCTAATATAGTTGTTTTGTCCTGAGAATGCAAATGCAATCAGAAGCAGTTCACATCAACTCTTTGCGATATGCACATATTGGACCTCAAGCTTGGTACTATGGTAGGATGGAATAGGCATTGTGATAACTGAATGGGTAGTTACATTGGAGATGGTGGATGTACATGTCATCAATGTGTCAGCTGTTGACACAGCCATGTGCACACACACCCTGACACATCAAACATCTCTTTGGTGCAGTGCAATGTTGATGATGAACAGCAGTCGAACACTGTTCTGTCAGTGTAGTCTTGCGGTGCCAAAGCTCTTTGCATCAGAGCATAACTGTACATCGCCCTGTGTTTGTTGTGTCTGGCGCCCTGCGATGCCACAGGGTAGAATTGGACAACATCTTCACTGTTACGGCAGGGAAAGACACTTGCATATCTGCATGTGGTGTTCTCTTGAAATCCACCAAGAAAACACAACATGAACTTGCAACAAATGCTGTGGACCGTCATGTGTGGAGTACTCCTCCACGCACCGGCATTTTCAAGTTGTTACAAAATCAGTGTTAGCTCGTGTCACATCAGGGCAACAAAACAACAGCCCAGCAAAGAATGGATTGTACACATGCCAACAGCAACGTACAGGTAGCAAGAAATGTTGATGAAATCAGTCAGAATGAAAACATTCCATGATACTACAGCTACTCACATAAGTGGGGAGGACAGCATGATTGCACTGCTTTCTGTGGGCAACAACGACGATCATTTTTCTTCTGCAGTCCAAAAACATCTTACAAGGGGTCATTGGTGCAAGTGTATATGCATAATATATAGCACATGTGTAAGCCCACCTTGTCAAGTCCCCTACCAAGTTTGTCTACGTTTGTGCTAACTGCGTCCTCAGCAGCAGCAGCAAAGCTGCCAGCCAGTGGGGGAGACATGCTCTGCTCATTGGCAGAAACTATCTTAACCGTGAAACAAGCACACCAGAGGAAAAGAAAGAACATGCTCCCAAAACACACGAAAGGCCTCATTCCAACCAGACGTGGCATTGTTTGCATTGCATCCAGCTCAAAGTGTCTTGGCTGTATTTTGGACAAATGTGATCTAAGAAAGGTACTGTCAGCACGCTGCCACAATGTTGCCCTTGTTCAAAATACCAACACATACCCCTTGCCACTCAGCTCTCTGGCAGCGCATTCCTTTCGCAGTTCGTTGATGGTCATCCTGTCCAAATCCAAGTGACGGATGTCCATGTCTCCCAAGGAATGCCTGAGGCGCCGCCCAGGCTCAGTTCTCCTCCTTGCATTGACATGCAACAAGTCATAGGACTGCCAACTGTCAGCTCTGCCACTTGCAGATTTGGCAACAACATTCGCTTGCCATTCTCAGCATAATGCTGCTGCAAGAGGGAGGTGCCATAAGGTTTATCTCTCCTCATGCTGCATTTGCCATGGTTTGTTTGTCCAGATGCACACAGAGACTTTTGACCAGTTTAACGCTCATCATCGCCCAACAGGTGGAAAGTGCATTTTCATGTTGTTGGCGAATGTACTCCATGAATGCATGCGCCACATCTTCTCCTGCAGTATGCCACCCTTCACAGCAAGGAAAAGAGTCCCAAATTCGTATTTACACAGGCGCTGCCCATTGTACAACCAGGTTTCTTCTTCCTTCCCGTTCTGTGACGCTCAGTGCCACACCTGAGTTAACCATATAATATGTGGAGGACGCAAGGCTGTGGTGCCCTGTGCAGATGTTTCTTGCAAGCTCCTGGGTCCGTAGTGTGGTGTATTGTGGCAGCTATGCCTTCTGTGACCTCATCCTGGGTCAGGAGCCAACTCTATAACTGAAAGCAGCAGATGCTAGAGCGCCTGTGCCTGACGACCGAAGAAACACTCGCGAATTATACTGGGATGTCGCATGCTTCGTTTCTGACTTTGCAGTACTGGCGTGGGGCAGACCGATGCCTGTTGTGCACAAGAGAGGGTATCTTTGGGGAACCACAGGCCGTATCCCCAAGCCGCGGTGCAGCGTTGGGACCAAAGCGATGCGAGCAAACACCTGACCGGAAGGACGTCGCTGCAAGTGGCCCAGCCCTGTGGCAACTTCGCCAGGAGATGCTTGCACACTTGCGCATCAAAACCAAGGCGCGAAAACATTGTCGATCCAAACGGCGGAGTCCCACAATCACATTGCCTCCGACGATGGTCTTAGGGCGCCGCGGCTGTGGGCCACCGCACGACACCCAATCAAACACAGCGCGGAAGTCATGGGCCAGAACAACCCTAGCCCCATGCAACGGCATAGACGACGCCGCAGTGATCCGCAAGTTTTCGGGAACTACGCACCGGCTGGCAACCTCCCCTCGCTCCGCCTGTGTCGGCGCCACAGCTACTGGCGAAGGCCAGGCCGACCAATCGCTCCCCCAAGCGCTGTCGCTGCGCGGCGGTGCGACGCTTCTCTGACGCCCCCCACCCATCCATCTCCGTCCCATCCGTCTCTCGTCGTTCGCCTATCTCCACGCACTTCCGGAATCCAAATCGATCGCCCCCAGCCTACTCACCCCTTCTTTGGCGTCCCCCGGCGTTTGAATTCTCCTTCCATCAGATTGCGGACCTGGCCTTGGCTGTTGTTCGTGTTGTGGGCTGCCCTCGATGGGTGACCTTCAGGGGGCCTCAGCGCCCTTCGGCAGGTCTCGCTGGGTCGGAGCTTCGAGGGCTCTTTGCGAAAGCTGTCCAACCGAGACCCTAAGAGGAGAAAACGAGGGATGGGCCCCTGGGGTCGCCTTTGCTGCATGCTGCACCAAAAATTGACAGCTGCACCAAAAATTGACAGTTGCGCCAAAAAATTGCTGAAATCCTGACGCCAAATCTGTGTCCGCAAAATGTGCTTGGAATCCTGCGGTGGTCTTGAACACTGGGGGGAGGCTGCAGGTGGTGTGGTGCAAAACACCACCATGCACTGGGAGTACCATGCGCTTTTAAAAAACCCTTGCACATGGTGACGTTAATGCTTGGCCCTTTTTGAGGGGAAAACAATGGAAGAAAAAAATAGCGCTCTTCAACAAAATTTCTGCAGAGCAACGTAAAAAATAAAAGTAACGCCCTGCAAAGCAAAATGCAAAGCATAAAGCAAAATGGTAAAATTTTATGATGCAAAAGGGGTTAAAGACATACGGTACAATAATAACGCCCCTTGAGAAAGAGGCGCTATCTATTGGTGGTAATGATTGCATTGAAATATTGTGCAATCCATCATATGAGACTGCCCCTGATGACCCACAGAACGTACCAAGAAGCAATTGCAACCTCAGAAGGAGAGTCCATGTAGAAGAGGTGGCCGCTATCATGGGCTTCATGTGATAAGTATCGAAGGTTAATTAACCTCTTGCAAGTGATGCACTATGCCGAACTTGCCACATTTCTGTCAGCACTGAATCTATTGACCCTCTAAGAAACACTGCTATTTTGGAAATGATGTATGAGGCAGGAGTGCAGCGAGGCTCCTGCAGGTGTTTGAACAAGCCAACTGAATTGAGGATGAAAGTCAATGTACTTCACGCCCCATCTTGTCTAGAGGTGGCCACCCGGATCCGTTAATAACGGACGAGGGTGCCGTCCGTTAAATATCCGTTAATTTAGCGGACCCCGCTCTCTCTCTTGCTGACGTGGCACGGATGGCAGCGGACGGCTGGTGCCAGTCAGCGGACTCTGCGGATTCCGCTTGGGCGTTAACGGATATTTTCCAGCGGACCGGAAGCCGCGCACCCCATCCGCTAATTTAGCGGATGGCAGCGGACGTGTGTGCCGAATCAGCGGATGACAGGCAGTAAGTACTGATTTCCGAATCTGCGGATCGGGTTGATTGCCAGCGTGGTAGAGGTGGCCACTCAAGGGTGCCATCCGGTCCGTTAAATCCGGTTCGTTAATTTTTATCAGCTGTGCGTTAAATTTCGTTAAAGAAAAAGGGAGAAAAATTCAGAAAAAACGAAAAAAATCCAAAAAAATCGAAAAAAAACCCAAAAAATCACAACAACTACGGCTAGTTGAAAATCTAGTATGCATAGGTTGAAATAAAATACAAACATACTTTCTAATAGCGAATTCCATAAACTATAAGTATGAAAAAAACCCAAAAATCCCCAAAAAATCCAAAAATCCGCTAATTTTTCGTTAATTTTTGTCTTTTTTCGTTATTTTCCGTTAATTAACGGAATAATTAGCGGAATTAACCTCTGTCCGCTATTAACGGATCCGGGTGGCCACCTC